TGGCTGGCCTCGCCTACGGGGTTTCCGCGAGCGAGGGAGGGGGTCGGGTGAGGAACAATGCACCTGCGCCGCGCGGCCGACCGGCTTTGTGAGGGACGGGAAGACGGCACTGCGCAGCCTCCGAGCCGAGAAGGCTGATGGGAAATGTAGTCTGCAGTCAACAAATCAGGAAAAGAAAAGGCTGGGAATGGGAAAGGCAGCTATGAACGAACTAGATAATAGCCTAAAAAGCAAAGACATAAAAATGTTAGGACCGTCCAAGCTAGTGAAGAAAGCTGACAGGAAGAAAAATCAACTAATTTGAGCTGTGGGGCTGAGGTCAAGAAGTGCTTTTCTCTCAGGAAGTCAAACAAACAAGGCCTCTGTATTCAGGGTGACCAGGTGTCCTCACCACAAAGGAGGACAAGGCAGCACAAAATGCAGGGCATTCGAGAAAAATGGAGGACTTTGCTAAATAAAAGCTAAAAATACTCGTATAAATATAAATTCATGGTTCTAAGTCAGGCTCAAAATGGATGCCATTTTGACATTTTTCCAGGACAGAAGGTGGAAATGTAGGACATGCTCTGGGGGGGAAAAAAGAGGACGCCTAGTTACCCTTTCTGTGGTCTGGAACACACTGCAGAAATAATTCAGTTTGAGACAGCTTTAACTTCCCTGGAATTCTGGGAACTGTAGTTCTGTGAGACATTCAGCCATCAAGTTTGTCAGAGAGCTCTGGAGCCACAATAAACTACTATTCCCAGGATGCCCTTGCAGTTAAAGCAGTCTCAAACTGGATTATTGTTGCAGTGTGGATACAGCCTATATTGCAAACAGGAAAACTTTATTCCAAAAACCCCCAAGTTGTTAGCAGGAAGACAAGTGCCATCATCCACCACCGTTGGCATAACATTAACATTGTCCCACCCTAAAATTCCGTTTACTTAATTCATTTACTAATTAAAACATACTAACTCTCTCTTCTTTGCCCAGACTGAAATGCCATCCTGGTCTCATCTCTGCTTTCTATTTCCACAGCACTCTCTGAGGAAATTCTCCCGTCAGACATCTGCACAATCCTGCACCAGGCCACAAGGAGCCCTTTGAACCACCATCAATTGTTTCCAGGAGTATTATGCTTCTCATATCATCATATTCTAATTAACATTCATAGAATTTTATATATCTAAGACACTTTGTTGTGGGCCTTCAAGTCATTTCTGATTTTTGGTGACCCTATCTCAGGGTTTTCTTGGCAAGATTTGTTTACAGGAGGTTTGCCATTGCCTTCCCCTGAGGCTGAGAGTGTGTGACTTTGCCTAAGGACACCCAGTGGGTTTCATGGCCAAGTAAAGATTTGAATCCTGATCTCCACAATCATATATAACTCAAACCACTCTACTACACTGGCTCTGATCTAAAACACTATAACACCACTATAACGCCACCAAATATACTATAACTCACTACTATAACTCCACCAAATGCATCTGAGGAAGTAGACGAGTCTACGAAAGCTCATGCTACCAAATTCTTTCTTTCATTTTGTCTCAAAGGGGCTACAAAATCTCTCTACATACTGATTCTACAGTCTAACACAGCTATATCTTTGAACACTCAATTTAACATGCTTATATATTACAACAGCAATAACCATCTTATGAGAGAATAGGCCAGAATCTGGAGCAGAGTGCTCAGGTTACTGTGGACAGCCAAGAAGGCAAACAATTGGGTCCCTGAACAAATTAAGCCTGAACTCTCCCTGGAAACCAAGAAGACTACATTGAGGCTGTCTGACTTTGGCCACACGCAAAGGCAGGACTGGCTTGAAAAGACAATGGACCTTATCCCACGGGGCCAAAAGCAGCAAGAATCCACTAAGAATCAGGCGCTATAGCGCTATACATTCCTGGGTGATCACACAACGTCGCTCAGAATGCACTAAGAATCAGGCGCTATAGCGCTATAGTTTTCCGGGTGATCACACGACGTCGCTCAGAATCCAACAAGAAACCGCTCGGAATGCAGCATCATTCGGGTTCTTTTGAATGTCAGTTTCAGCGGGCATTGCAATAGCGCTAGCTTATCCATAGCGCTATTATAGCGCTAGCGCCATATTTATACTAGCGCTATAGTACTGCAATGATGCTCATATCGCTTTCTTGCCACTTTTGAGAGCAGCGTGGGATAAGGTCCAATGCTAGGAAAGGTAGATAGTAGTAGAAAGAGAGGAAGACTGCATGCCAGATGGATAGATTAAGGGCCTTAGCAGACTGCCAGAAATAGTGCAAATTGAGTCCACTTTAAGGGTTAGGGTTAGTGCTAGGGAATCATGGGAATTGTTTTTTTTTCCTGAGACATTGAGCCTTCTCTGTCAGAGAGCTCTGGTGCCACAATAAACTACAATTCCCATGATTCCCTAACCCTAACCCTTAAAGTGGACTCAATTTGCACTATTTCTAGCAGTCTGCAAAGCCCCTAAGTGAGGGAGGTCATGGACCTGAATTTACAGGACATGAGGAGAGCAGTGGAGGGCAGGGGGTCTTGGAGATGGCTGATCCACAGGATTGCCATGAGTCGGGGTCAACTCAAGTGCAGTTAACAACACAACAGACTCATAAACGAAATGACAAGTTTTAAAAACTATAATTACTATATGTCCTTTAACCATAAAACCTTGTCATAGTCATTATGTGCCATCAGGGAGATCTTATTATGGATCTCCGTAGGGTTGCCATATCATGGGTTTTCTTGGCAAGATTTGTTCCGAGGCAGTTTGCCATTGCCTTCCCCTGAGGCTGAGAGCATGTGACTTGCCCAGCGGGTTTCACAAATGAGCTGAGAATCGAACCCTAGTCGCCAGAGTTGTAGTCCAATGCTCAAACCACTATGCCACTTTTCTGACTCTCCACACTGCAGAAATGATGCAGTTTGACACCACTTTAACACCATGGTTCAATGTTATTGCAATTTGGAATTGTAGTTGTAGTTTATTGTGGCACCAGAGCTCTCTGACAGAGAAGGCTCAATAGCTCAGAAAACTACAAATCCCAGAATTCCACAGCTTGGAGCCTTGGCAGTTAAAGTGGTGCCAACCTGGATTATTACTGCAGTGTGGATGTCTCTTCCAAGGGCTGAGATGTGTAATAAATCTGTTCCTCCAGCAGGTGTCACCTCCTGTCTTCCAGCCCTGAAGCTGAGTTTAGCAAGCCCCTTTCCCCTTTGCACTCATTATATCCACTCCCCCTGTAAAAGTCCTGTTTGCACACTCAGCTGTTTCCCATTCGTGCCCCCCTGCCTGCCCCCTTGTCTATTTAAAGCCAGCTCAGAGTCCATGCTATTCCTTTTCTGACTCTTTACTTATTTAGTTTCTTTCTCTCATCCTGCTTGCCTCTTTTCTCCAAACTCCAGCTCACCCTCATGATGACTTCTACCTCTGGACCTGCTGCTCCAATCTTTGCAGAAGGAGAGAACTGCAAGACTTCTTGGAAAGAGGCCAGTGCCGGCTATAATCTAACGGATACCCACCTGGAGATCATGGGGAAACCGGTCATGGAGCGCTGGGAGACCCCCTACATGCATTCCCTGGCCACAGTGGCAGCTTCCAAAGGTACGATCAGCCTCTGCAACAAAACAGCATGCTTGTTTCCACAGCCTACCTTTTAGGGGTGGTGTGCCGTCAAGGCATTTCATAGAATCCTAGAATTGGAAGAGACACCAAGGGCCACCAAGTCCAACCCTGAGCCATGCAGGTATACACAATCCAAGCACACCCAACAGATGGCCATCCAACCTCTATTTAAGACACTTCAAAGAATAAGATTCCACCATCTTCCAAGGCAGTGTCTTCCACCGTCCAACAGTTCTTACTGTCAGGAACTTTTTCCTAATGTTGAGGTGGAATCTCTTTTCCTTTTGTTTGAATCCACTGCTCTGGGTTCTAGTCTCTGGAGCTGCAGAAAACAAGCTTCCTCCATCTTCAGTATGATATCCTTTCAAATATTCAAACAGAACTATCATATCCCCTCTTAACCGTCTCTTCTCCAGGCTGAACATACCCAGTTCCCTAAGTTGTTCCTCATAGAGCATGGTTTCCAGACCTTTCACCATTTTAGTTGTCCTCCTTTGGACACGCTCCAGTTTGTCAACATCCTTTTTGAACTGTGGTGCTCAGAACTGGATGCAGTATTGCATTGGCTTCTTTAGCTGCTACATCACACTGTTGACCGATGTTCAGCTTGTGGTCGACGGACTCCTAGATCCCTTTCATATGTCTCTTGTTAAGTCAGGTGTCCCCCATCCTATATCTATGCATTTAATTTTTTTCTGCCTAAGTGCAGTACCTTACATTTCTCTGTTGAAATTAATTTTGTTAGTTTTGGCCCAGCTTTCTAATCCATTCAGGTCATTTTGAATTTTGATCCTCTCCTCTGGGGTGTTAGCTGCTCCTCCTAATTTGGTGTCATCTGCAAATTTGATAAGGTTGCCCTCTATTCCTTCATCTTTCAGTACCACTCTATTCTGCTTTAGTCAGACTTTACCTGGAATACTGTGTCCACTTATGGGCACTACAGTTCGAAAAGGAGGTAGAATATGTCTTGAGGAGGGCAACCAAAATGATGAAAGATCTGGAAACCATAAAGTCCTATTAGAAGAGACTTAAGGAGCTAGGTATATTTAGCCTGGAGAAGAGAAGGTTAAGGGGTGACATGATAGCCCTGGTTAAATATTTGAAGGAGTGTCGTATTGAGGATGGAGCAAGCTTGTTTTCTGCTGCTCCAGAGGCTAGGACCCTGAGCAATGGACGCAAACTACAGGAAAAGAGATTCCACCTAAATGTTAGGAAGAACTTCCTGACAGTAAGAATCTGATTGATAGTAGAAGACGCTGCCTCGGAGTGTGGTGGAGTGTCCTTCTTTGGAAGATTTTAAACAGAGGCCATCTGTTGATTATGTGTTCCTATGTGGCAGAATGGGGTTGGTCTGGATGCTCCTTGGGGTCTCTTCCAACTGTATGATTCAATGATTCATGTGTGAAATCTTGGAGGGTATACAGCAATTGGATGTAGGTTACGGTTGACAGTAACAGCCAGTGACATCCATCAAGTGGGAGATTAGTATGTCCCTGGGTTGTTTCTTTCTGCCTTCTGGATCCATTTCAAAACCAGACCAGGAAAGCTCTGATGCTGTAGCTGATCCTGATGGTTTTTCTAGTCAGTCAACCCTGCATCCAGTGAGTTGGGGCAGTTTCGAACGCATTCTGACACCACCTTTGAAGCCAAGTTAAGAATAGCCAGTGAAATCTGTCCCTTCTCAAACACTTGTGGGTAACTTCAAGGGTCAGACATTTCTTCCAACAGCTGTGTGTCAAAGTCCGCAAATGGAAGGATGGCTCTTGTGGATGAATCCAAAAGTCCATTTCCTAGTGTTAACTGCTCCACTATTCTGTTTGGCTTTTGGTTTTTTAAAGCTTTGGTTTTTTTAAAAATAATGTTGAATATGATTCCCCCACCTAATTTTTTAAAACTAGGTAGAAAGTTTAAAATATTAAACATTAAAAATAGGATAGAAAGGAATTGATTTTAGAAATACAGAAATAACGAACTGGAAATAGCAGTGAAGAATGTTGTGTGTGTAAATTTCAAGGGAAAAAAGGGCCAAATATCCAAATAGGTGTCAGTATAAGGGCAGTGCCTAGTTTCTCACATATTCAGATTTTGAAAGGGTTAAAAACTGAGACGAATAAAAGGTAATATGATAACCGTCTTTAAATACTTGAGTGGGGGAGGGTATGATGTAGCAGATGGAGTGAACTCCAGGGACTAGAACACAAATCAATGGATTCAAATGACAAGAAAAATATTATATCTAAACATTAGGAAGAACTTCTTGACTTAATGGCATTTTGGCACCACTTTTAACTGTGATGGTGGCATCCTGGGATCTGTATCTTCATTAGCTATCTGCATTTCTATGTCAGAGAGCTCCAGTGCTTCATGGCACTACAAATCCCAAGATTATGTGGGATTCCAGCCATGGGCAGCAGTTAAAAGTGGCCTCAGAGTGCTTGAATGGTGTACTGTGAAATAGTACAGTTGACTGCAGGAGGTTCCAGGTTCATTCCCTTCTAGTTAGAAGGGTTAGAGAGCAGGTGATGGAGGGGGAGGCCTTTTCTATGTTGTAGACCTTAAAGAAATGCTACCAGTAAGATAGCCATAGGATATGATAGACAGAAACTTGCTGTGCCATCTCAGAGTTCTCTCCTTCTTTCCTTCTCTTTGCCCAGGAGGCCGGGTTTTGGAGGTGGGCTTTGGCATGGCCATTGCAGCCACCAAAATTGAACAGTTCAACATTGAGGAGCACTGGATCATTGAATGTAATGAAGGGGTGTTTCAGAGGCTCCAGGAATGGGCCAAAACTCAACCTCACAAGGTACAAGCTAAAGGGACTCCAAACTCGAGCTGTCCCAATTTGGAAGGGACAATCTTGATTACTGTGCTCTCCTCACTTTTCTAGCGGCTTTTAAGATATTCTACCTTCTCTCTCTTCCCCCTTTGATTCTCAGCTTTCTTCAATTTCTGTAAACTGAAATCAAAGTATAGAAGCAGTTTGCATTCTTATCAACTCAGTGGGAAGAACAGGAGAGGACTTGGCTATAAATAGTGTATTTCTATTTATATAATAGAAATATAAGTCTATTATGTTTCTAATATAATAGAAACTATTTTAAACTAATAAATTTGGAGGGAATCCAGAATTATTGGGGACTTCTTCTTCTGCATACATTTCTTTAAAAACAACAATAACCTTGGGCAAGTCCCACTTTCTCAGCCTCAGAAGAAGGAAAAGCAAATGCCCTCTGAACACCCATAGACCTATTGTGTTTCTGCATCATATTTATAGTGTATTTCAGCATGCTCTCTGGACACACTAAAACTGGTATTGCAATGCTTTGAGTGATGCAGTGTTTCCCCTCTTCAGAAACTGAAACCATGCATGGACTTTGCATACAATTGATTGGAATACCTTAAGAATATGTACGGTAATCCAGTAACAATGGGATCAAGTCAGATTCATAGGGAAATTAAGTCCAAATGGAGAGGCCGGGGTAAAGTCAAAGTTTAAATCCATATAAATGGTTGAAAAACAGGTTTTTCTAGTAAAATGGAATTTCTGTGTCAAGATTTCACTGTTGTTTCACCATAACCTTCCATCCGCAGTCCTGCTCCCATTTACCTGAGAATCAGACAGGGCTGTTGGCAAGTGAGGCAACTGCTTCAAGCATCAAATACTGGTGGCCAGCTATGCCACCTCACTCAAGTTATTTGTTCTGAGGCTTCAAGTTTTTCCCTTCTCTTAGAGGACAGACCTCAACACCTGTTGTCAGAGGGAATTAAAATAGAGTGGTTCCTCCACATTTGCTGGGGTTAGGGTCACAGGCCTCCCATGAAAGTGGAAAAACCGCAAATTTTAAAACCCTATATTTTTACTTTGGAGAACACCTCTCTGGGTTCTCCAGTACAACTCTATGGTCAACATCTGTCAGAGAGGTTGACCATAGAATTGTTCTGTAGGACCTACAAATGTCTAGAGAAGTGTTTTTTCTATTAATCTCTAGGTCATTCAGCACAACTGTACAATCAACTTCCAGGAGAGTTTTGCTGGATGATCTCCTAGAGAGAACATATTAATCAAAGCTGCCGATAATCACATCTGCAAAAGTCAAAGCCACAAATGTGGAAAGTCAACTGTAATCCCCCATTGCTAGAATTGGGGGGAAGGACAGTGACCCGTCTTGTCCTTTGCCTCAGGCAGCAAAATGATGTGGGACATTCCTGGACTAATTCTGAGAAGAATTAAGATGGCAAAAATTATGAATGAGAAGACAAGCTAGGAGAGGCTG